AATGTAGAGTGAACAGGCAAATTCTGTTTCAAACCTCAGGTATAATCCAAGTGAGACACGGAGAAGACTCCAAGCTTAGGCATTTGAATCCCATCAATATTATGGTGCCACAGCTCAGCCATCAGAAGGGTTGAGTTGGTCTGACATTTTCCAACATTCAGCAGGTCATGTTAGTGTGGAAACTTTATGATCCACCAAGGTAGAAGCTACTACAAATATTAGTTAATGGTACAATAAGGGAGAGGAATGACAGCTCTTTTTCATTATTCAAACTTTTGCCTCTTTTTCAGCCTTTTCTCAGCTTAATGGTTGAAAACAAGAAACAAGGGTTGGAAACTGATCAAAGAGAGAAGCAACCTGGTATTAAGGAGAAACTTCCTAACAGTGAGGACAAAGCAGGGGGTTGGACTTGATGACCTCCAAGGTCCCTTCCAACTTTTTATTATTATTATTATGGATCATCGCACAGTCAGCCAGATGTTCAGACTGGATTTGGCATTTTGTCTACCTATCGAGTCCTTACCCAGGACCTAGGATAGGCAGATGTGGATGTTTGATTGTATTACAGATATCGTCGCAGGATGGAAGCAGTTCCTAGTAAGGCCGCCTTTTGCAATTGACTAATAGAGAATTTGTCAGTGCCAATGGTGTTCAAGTGGTGCTCCAGTTGTTTTGGGATTGCACCCAAGGAACCTATGACTATTGGTACTACCCTTGCTTGCTTTTGCCACAGTCTTTCTATTTCTATTTGTAGGTCTTTGTATTTTGTTATCTTCTCCAGTTCTTTCTCTTCTATTCTGCTGTCTCCAGGCACTGCCACGTCCACTATCCAGACTTTTTTGTCTTTCTTATCGACAATTGTTAAGTCTGGGGTGTTATGTTGCAGGTGCTTGTCTGTTTGAATTCTGAAGTCCCAGAGCAGTTTAATTTTATCATTTTCTATGACTTTCTCTATTTTATGATCCCACCAGTTTTTGCTTACAGGCAAATGATATTTTTTGCAGATCTTCCAATGAACCATTGTTGCTACTTTGTCATGCCGCTGCTTGTCATCTATTATTATTATTATTATTATGGATTATTGCACAGTCAGTCAGATGTTCAGACTGGATTTGGCATTTTGTCTACCTATCGAGTCCTTACCCAGGACCTGGGATAGGCAGATGTGGATGTTTGATGGTATTACAGGTATCGTCGCAGAATGGAAGCAGTTCCTAATAAGGCCGCCTTTTGCAATTGACTAATAGCGAATTTGTCAATGCCAATGGTGTTCAAGTGGTGCTCCAGTTGTTTTGGGATTGCACCCAAGGAGCCTATTACTATTGGTACTACCCTTGCTTGCTTTTGCCACAGTCTTTCTATTTCTATTTGTAGGTCTTTGTATTTTGTTATCTTCTCCAGTTCTTTCTCGTCTATTCTGCTGTCTCCAGGCACTGCCACGTCCACTATCCAGACTTTTTTGTCTTTCTTATTGACAATTGTTAAATCTGGGGTGTTATGTTGCAGGTGCTTTTATTATTATTATTATTATTATTATTATCAATCATCGCACAGTTAGCCAGATGTTCAGACTGGATTTGGCATTTTGTCTACCTATCGAGTCCTTACCCAGGACCTGGGATAGGCAGATGTAGATGTTTGATGGTATTACAGGTATCGTCGCAGGATGGAAGCAGTTCCTAATAAGGCCGCCTTTTGCAATTGACTAATAGCAAATTTGTCAATGCCTATGGTGTTCAAGCGGTGCTCCAGTTGTTTTGGGATTGCGCCCAAGGAGCCTATGACTATTGGTACTACCCTTGCTTGCTTTTGCCACAGTCTTTCTATTTCTATTTGTAGGTCTTTGTATTTTGTTATCTTCTCCAGTTCTTTCTCTTCTATTCTGCTATCTCCAGGCACTGCCACGTCCACTATCCAGACTTTTTTGTCTTTCTTATCGACAATTGTTAAGTCTGGGGTGTTATGTTGCAGGTGCTTGTCTGTTTGAATTCTGAAGTCCCAGAGCAGTTTAATTTTATCATTTTCTATGACTTTCTCTATTTTATGATCCCACCAGTTTTTGCTTACAGGCAAATGATATTTTTTGCAGATCTTCCAATGCACCATTGTTGCTACTTTGTCATGCCGCTGCTTGTAATCAGTCTGTGCAATCTTCTTGCAACAGCTTACCAAGTGGTCCACTGTTTCTTCAGCTTCTTTGCATAGGCGGCACTTACTGTCTGTTGCTGTCTTCTCAATTTTGACTTTGTATGCATTTGTCCTTAAGGCTTGGTCTTGTGCAGCCAGAATTAGTCCCTCGGTCTCTTTCTTCAATTTTCCTGCTCTTAGCCATTGCCAGGTTTTATTATTATCTGCTTTCCCAGCTATTTTTTTCATGTATTGGCCATGTAGTGCTTTGTCTTCCCATGCCTCTATTCTGTTCTTCATTTGGTCTTTCTTGTAGGCCAGTTTGGTCTCTCCAGTAGTCAGTAAGCCTTCCTGATATACTAATTTCAGTGCATCTTCATCATTGTTCTTCAGATATTCTTCCAAAGCCATTTTTTCTTCTTCAACCATCTGATGTACTTGTAGCATTCCACGCCCACCTATTTGCCTTGGTAGATAAAGTCTATCAATGTCACTGCGTGGATGAAGGGCATGATTCATTGTCATTATTTTTCTGGTCTGCCTATCCATTGCTTTTAGTTCTGCTTGAGTCCAGTCCACTATTCCAGCTTGTACCTAATGACTGGGATTGCCCAGGTGTTGATTGCCTTTATGGTATTTCCTCCATTGAGTTTGGACTTTAAGATCTTCTTCACTCTCTTGATGTATTCACCTCTAATCTTTTTCTTGACTTCAGTGTGCTTGATGTTGTCAGCTTGAAGGATACCCAAGTATTTGTAGTACTCTTCCTCATCCAGACTCTTAATGTTATTTTCGTGGGGCATCTTGATTCCTTCAGTTTTCACTACTTTTCCTTGTTTGATAGTAAGTGTGGCACATTTGTCCAAGCCAAACTCCATAACAATATCTTGGCTATATATACGGACAGTGTTGAGCAGCGATTCTATTTCAGATGATGTTTTTCCATACAGCTTCAGATCATCCATGTAAAGGAGGTGGGATAGTCTGGCAGATGTTTTTGATGTTTGATAGCCATGTCCTGAGTTATTTAGTATTGTTGACAGAGGAAACAGTGCAATAACAAATAGTAATGGTGATAATGAATCTCCTTGAAATATTCCTCTCTTGATATTAACCTCTCCCAGCTTTTCACCATTGATCTGCAACTGTGTCTTCCATTGTGCCATCGATTTTTGCACAAATTTTCTGATGTTTCTACTTACTCCTGTTATTATTATTATTATTATTATTATTATTATTATTATTATTATTATTAACTAGTGGGAATAGCTTGCCTTCAGAAATTGTGGGCACTTTATCACTGGAGGTTTTTAGGAAGAAACTGGACAGTCACTTGTCTGAGATAGTATAGATTCTCCTGCTTGAACGGTGGGCTGGAGTAGAAGACCTCCAATGTCCCTTCCAGTTCTATTCTATTCTATTCTATTCTATTCTATTCTATTCTATTCTATTCTATTCTATTTCTATTTCTATTTCTATTTCTATTTCTATTCTGTTCTGTTCTGTTCTATTCTATTCTATTCTATTTCTATTTCTATTTCTGTTCTGTTCTGTTCTGTTCTTTTCTGTTCTATTCTATTCTATTCTAATGCATCGCATTCTAATGCTAAGTATCAATAAGTAGAAGTGTTTACATACTGCCCTACTTTTGAAGGTTTGGAATGCTTTACAAATGATTAATTCTGTGCCAACGAGTCAATGTCAATTCTGTGAGCATGCTTTTCTTCCTGCAGACATTTCATTGCCAGGCAGGTACTATTATCAGTTTATGGGGGAGATGGCTTTGCTGGGTATTCACCTATGTCAGCTTGTCCTACCAGTCTTGAATGGATTATTGAAAATATCTGTAGCTCATAACTGAATTGTCTGAGTCTTTGGTGCTCTCTGAGCTTGGTTGTTTGCTTGCAGACATTACTCATTAATTAATGAGTTAAGATCATCAGTGCCCTGATACTGTTGCCTGATGAATCATCATTGATGATCAGTGACCTAATCAGGTCACTGATGAGATTACCTCATTGGGTAATGAAACCTCTGCAAGCAAACAACCAAACTCAGAAAACACCAATCTGGCTGCTGATTAAGAGAATATGATGATGAAAGAAAATATGCTTAGGGCCATTTGCCCCTTTTCTTGCCTTTAGTTGCTTCATTTTTTTAAAAAAAATGGTTTGTAGATCAAGTTTACCTCTATGTCAGAATGCCAAGCCTGTAAGGAATTTTATAGCAAATTTGGGTCTGGCTTGGTCTAAAATATCTACAGTTTACCTACTTAAAATACACTATAAGTGTAATTCTTCTTCCTACACATATCATATAACACCCATATAAGCAAGAAACAGTGCTTGGAAGAAGTCAAGCTCAAAGACTATCAAGAACCCCAAAATAACTTTCTTTTTTTCTTAAAGTTAGGTGACACAATTCCAACTAAATGGAATAATATAATAAAAAAGGAAAGGCAGATTTTTGTTGGGTCCCCAATAAGGGGTTCAGAATAAGAGTTTCGTAAAGCCGCTAGGATTTCTTTCATTCTTTGTATTTGTATTACAGCATTGCTCTCTATATTTTACTCTAAAATGGCCATTTTAAGAGCATTGTAATCCAATGTTTGTTACAAATGAACTCTTAAAGATTTGCATTAGCATTTAGCTACTAGAATTGCTGAATATTTAAATATTGATTTGGCTAAAGCCATTGCATGATTGTGTAATATTAGTATCTCTTATCAAGAAATATTTCTTGTTTAGCCAATCAATACCGAACTAAACATGTGCTTACTCATCCAAAAAACTTTTCCAGGATGGTCATGTGACTAAATATGTTTCTCTATAAAACAGGTACTTGCAGTTTCTTGTTGACCTTCCTTTCCCATAATGAAAGGTGTAATTTTAATACTAGCATTGACCCTTGTGGGTAAGTAAGCATTTTAATTTATAATCTTTCAAAAATTGAACCTTAAAGACTTGTCCATTTTCATCAGAACAAATAAGAGAAACATTTTTACACATTAATGGAAACATTAAAAGTTCTGTATGACTATAACAACAGTAACCCAAAATCCTTCCAACTATATTTTAAACAATGGAAAATATTTTTTTCACAGCAATAAAAGCATTTTTTCTTCTATTTTTATCTTCCAGGTTGCCAACAAAAAATTGATCGTAAGTAGCATTATTTAATCATATAGATTTTTAAAAGCCAATTTATGTGTCTATAGATGTGTAGCAATATATTTTCCACACATTACCTTAACATGTGTTTGAATTTCCACAGAAAGTGTCTTAACTCCTGATAAAATTTTATTGTATGATTATGAATTTGAAGTTCAGAACAGAATGTCTGAAAATGGCTTTTCAAGTGCTGGACTAAAAGTTAAGTGTAAAGCAGAAATTGGAAATGTTGTTCAAGACCAGAAGTTTCTAAAGGTAAGGGGAAAAAATCCACATTGAAAGTGAGTTTGTGCTATTTTCATGTTTGGGAAGAGGCAAAAAAGGGATTCATTTTTCCAACTTAGAATACACACATACACAGATATATATATATATATATATATATATATATATATATATATATATATATATATATATATATATATAGGTCTTTGGTTGTTCGGGTTTTCTCCCTCGTAAAATTGGAAGTGTCTTGGCAACGTTTCGACGAAGTCACATTCGTCATCTTCAGGCTGGTGTTTTCAGCTTCTTGCTTTGAGCAGCAATGCTGCTCACATTGCTGCTCCAAGCAGAAGCTGAAAACACCAGCCTGAAGATGACGAATGTGACTTCGTCGAAACATCGCCAAGACACTTCCAATTTTACGCGGGAAAAACCCGAACAACCAAAGACCTATATACAAATACCCTCGCGAAAACCTCAGAAAACATATATATATATATATATATATATATATATATATATATATATATATATATATATATATATATATTACAGTAAATGCCTTATCACATTATCAGATAATTATACTTAAATCAAACTAAACAGAACTAAAGGTATAATTTCAGATCCATAGTTATTTTTGCTGGATTTACTTATTTATTTTTCCAAAATGTTAGCTCTAAGTTACTTCTTCATTAAATGATTTTCATTTGGGACAAACAAAAATATTTAAATTCATGAGACTATTTTGTTATTTGCAGGATGAAATTTATTACTAAGGCTTTACTTAGCAACCTTTCTCTTTTTTTATGCTTCTGAGTTACTGTTGATTCCTGGTAAACTGCCTAGATAAGTCTCTACAGTTTTCTTGGCAAGGTTTTTCAGAAGTGGTTTGCAATTGCTTGCTTCCTAGGGCAGAGAGAAAGTGACTGGCCCAAGGTGATCCAGCTGGCTTCATATATATGGCAGGACTAGAAGTCACAGTCTCCTAATCTGAAATTTTAACTACCAGACCAAAGTAACTCTCTTTTGCAAATTTAGTCCTGTCTACATAGGAGCCTTGTCTCCTGCCTTCCTATAGGTCTACCTATGCTACAGGATTTAAACTTCAAATTCTTTTCTCTTGCTATTGTAAATTAACAGCTCATTCTTCTGAGAACCTTGGAAACATATGATCTACCCTGACATAAGATTTATCTCTATCTTGGAAAAATGGATTCCTGACTTACACAACTTCTTTACCACTTTATATTACTTTAAATACTAAGATTTTAATGCTAAAGTAGTGTTACATCACTTTATTTTTAATACTCACATAGAAAAGAATTTATGGTTTCTTTTCTTTAAAGGCCTTTTAAATTCAGATGGGAAATTTAGGAAGAATAAAATTTTACTATGTACGTTTTCTTAATCTCTTTGTGTGACAGGTTGATTGTTTTGAAGGACTGGATTACAATGGCATTTACCCCTGGAGCAATTTTGTTTCATCACCCAAATTAACTGCAGTGTTTCAGGAACACTTGAAGAATTTAATTCTTACATTTCAATACAGAAATGGGCATGTCGATGACATAATGGTTCCAGAAAATGTCTCAGAATTTGCTCTAAACGTCTGCAAAGGAATTTTGAATTTATATGAAAATACCATCAAGAATGACCAGAAAACTTATAATTTAAAAGAGGTAAATCATAATTCCAATTTTATTTGTGATATGGCATTATGACCTTCTGCTTTCTCTTTTGTCCAATAACACAGTTGGGGTTGTAAGCAACATTACTGGTGCCAGGGAAGAATTTTGAAGATGAGCATGATGTCTCAGTAGTATGATTTTATCTGCAACCAACTTTAGGTTCACTGCGTTTGGATAGAAGTGATTGCCCCACACTGAAGATCTACAGCAGTTACCGTATAGTCATTGATATTACCATCAGCAAGAATTTCCAAATTGCACCTTCAAATCATATATATAGAGAGCAAGGTTTTTCTGCTCTAGGGTTCTGCAAACAGTTGATTGGGTCCATGAAAAACTACAGGCTAAATGCCTAACAAGACTCACTTAAGAACAGCCCATTTTGTGTCACTACAATTTTGCTTCATGATTGAAGATTCCAGAAGTGTATAAGTTCTACATCCTGAAAAGTTTTGAAAACCAATATTTAGAGCACAGCCCAGAGCATAATACATCTATCCAATTTTCAGAACTTTTAGCAGTGCAACCTTATGCCTATCTAAGGCATGGATAGAAATAGAGGATTATTAAGTTCAATGGAATTTTCTAACAAGGTTGCGACCTTGAATGACTGCCTCTGTATTGAACTGTTATCCTACTCTGTGTGTGTGTACGTTAGAGATAGACATACTGTTTGTAGACGTACATACGTACACATTTGAAATAGCTTGCTGGTAGAGCAAAAAGAAAAGTAAGCAATTCTTCTTCAACTTCTACAAAATGAATCTGCAAAATTATAATTTGTTTCTATAAAATCCTAAATTAGTTTTATTTATGTATGTAAATTAAATATCTCAACTGGATACTGATTTGGTAAAATAGTTAAAATTATTTTTGTAGAAAATTCAGAATATAACTAATTTAAATCAGAAAGCAACTATCTGAATATATGAATATTGTACTTTGGGAATTTACTTGGCACCCCACTGGCTCCTGACCATATTTGATCTCTGAATTATCTAAATTGTTTACTTACTATCCATGCTATTTTTTTTAGCTCATATCTTCCTCTGGTTAAATCAGTCCAAATCAGTTGAAATCGGGGTCATTGTTTGTATTGGTGGCTATATTCTACAGTATCGAACTTATCTAGCATATCATTCCATATACAGTATCTAATAAACAAATAAAATAGTCTATTATACTGATTGCCAAGAATCAGAATAAAGCTGGAAGGGACATTGGAGGTCTTCTAGTCCAACCCCCTGACTAAGCAGGAGACCCTATACCATTTCAGACAAGTGGCTGTCCAGTCTCTTCTTAAAAACCTTGAGCGATGAGGCCCCTACAACTTCTGAAGGCAAGCTGTTCCACTGGTTAATTATTCTCCCTGTTAGGAAGTTTCTCCATAATGTCAATTTGTTTCTCTCCTTGATTAGTTTCCATCCGTTGTTTCTTGTCTTGCCTTTTGGTGCTTTGAAAAATAAGTTGACTCCCCTCTGCTTTGTAGCAGCTCCTCAAGTACTGGAATACTGCTATCATGTCACCCCTTGTCTTTCTTTTCTTTAGACTGGCCATACCCAATTCCTGCAATGTTTTCTTCCTATGTTAGTTGCTCTTCTCTGCACTTTTCCCAAAGGCTCAATATCTTTTTTGTAATGTTATGAACAAAACTGGATGCAGTATTCCAAGTGTGGTCTTACCAAAGTTTTATAAAGCAGTACTAATACTTCACATGTTTTTGATTCTATGCCTCTGTTTATGCAATCAAGGATTGTATAAGTTTTTTTGGCTGTTACAGCACAGAGCTGACTCATGTTTAAGTTATCATCCACTAGGATTCCAAGATCCATCTCACAGTTACTGTTTTTGAGCCAGGTTTTACCTAATCTGTACTTGTACCTTTGGTTTTTCTTGCCTAAGTGTAAAACCTTGCTTTTCTCCACATTAAATTTCATATTGCTTTGCGGCATTCCTGCTTATAAGAATTCATCTTCAGACCTTTTATTTTTAGGAAGGGAAGAAAAAGAAAAAAAAATGTCATGGAAGGTCACAATAGGTTTTTGTTGTTGTTTTTTTAATAACAGCCTTGCCATGTAAATTCTTCCTCTTTCATTTCATATCGGGCTAATTATGTGAAGGTACTGCTACAGTGTGGAACAGTGAATAGCAGTTCATTAAGCTAATGGCAAGTATAAAGCACATGAAAATGTCTAGGTTGAAAGCGCCTTGAGGGAGAGAAAAACAAATTTAAACTTGGTAGAAATTCTAGGTACTTACTGGGGTTTCACTTTTGATGAATACCCAAAAAAAATTGATATAATGTTAGAGAGCTGAGTTAACTCTGCTAATATAAGAAAGGAAGATCTCATTGCTTTAGCAAGTGAGCTAATTATTGCTGCTTTCATGGCCGGTCTGCTCATCTACAATTCCAAGGCTTCTAACATAGGAATGTGTGAATTGTAGATTAGGTATAATAGGATTTTTAGGGATAATACGGCAGTTCTATCCCTGAAATGTTTTGCTTCTGAGGTTTAACTCTCATTGATCAGATTATTTGGGCATGTTTTTTATTTAAAAATTCCAAATTATGCTTTATATAAAGCCTAATTGCAAATGAATAAAGAACTTCCCACCGGAACATGCCAGGTCTTTACTAAGGTTTGACATGATAGAAGAGGAGGAGGAGGATTTGATCAAAGGCATTAGGAATTAGAAAGGACACCGCAATTCCCCAAGTGAATAGATCCTTTTCATAGGGACCTTTTCTTTATTTTTTAATTTAGAAAATTTATATTGCTGCCTACTTGCACATGGCTAAAAGTGGCTTACAAGGCTTAAAAGCACAATATAAAAGAAATGAAAATAAAAGTAGCAAGATAAAAATAATAAAAAATAACCCTCCACACCCTGGTGACAACACACATTCATACCAGGCATTTTTAATGGGCTCCATTCCACTCTGGTTTCCTCAGACCCATGGCAGAACCACATCTTAAGGGCCTTCTGAAAGAAGATTAAAATGGGGGCCAGTCTAATTTCTGCAGGGATGATGCTCCAGAGAGAGGAAGCCACCACAGAGAAGGCCCTTCTTCTGGGTCGCACCTGAAGTATCTCCTTAGGGGAGGGAGTGGGTCAGGTAAATGTGATCTGCAAGAGATGGTCCCTCAGATATTGTATTTAATGTATTGTTTATATTAATATTGTATTTATTTATTTTGCAGAATGGCATTGAAGGTAGATGTGACACAACATACCTCCTTCAAAACACCGAGAAACCAGATGAATTCTTGGTGACCAAATCCAAGGATTTAACTAATTGTGATAACGAGGCTAAACAGATTGTTGGTGCTGCACATGTGACTCCATGTGAGTTCTGTAGACAGGTCAGTACTATTAATGGATGTGTGTGCTATAGAGAGATAGATGTTAGAGACATGTTAAAGATATAGAGATACAGAGAAGAAGGCAAACACTTTTAGTAAATGATTGTTATTAAACATAGATATACTATAGCAGTGATGGCAAACCTTTTAGAGACCGAGTGCCCAAACTGCAACCCAAAACCCACTTAAGTATTGACAGGTGCCGGGTGGGTGTGGTCATTGGCTAGGTGTGCCCCATTGGGTAGGCATGGCTGTGGTGGAACGGCAGACTGGGTGGGACTAAAAAGTTCAATCAATCAATTCCAACTTTGCAAGATCTGTTTTTTCCCCGTAAGAAGTTGAAATTGACTGATTGATTGAACCTTTTTTTTTTTTTTTGCACATGGCGGCAAAGGCCTAAAGTGAAAAGGCTTTATAAAACCCAGCTGAAGGCCTAGGACTGGGGTAACGACGTGCGAGCCCACAGAGAAGGCTCTGAATGCCGCCTCTGGCACCCATGCCATAGGTTCACCACCACTGTACTATAGATATAGATACACATTATATATTTTTATAATTTTATTCGAAGTTTTAAAAAGGAAGATAAAAACTAATACAAACTAATGTAAAGTAAGAAATAAAAATCATTGCCAAATCTTTCCATCTTTGGGCACCCAATAATTCTGTAGTAATTATCATGCACAAAAAAGTTCCAAGATTTTTTCCAACTGTTTGTTCATCTGTCCCAAAAGAAGATTTCTTGTACATTAATCTTTAAAATGGTGCAAATCAGTGCACATATTTGAATCTAGAATTTTCTAGCTTTTTTATATGTCCATCAAGCATGATAAAATATCCCTTCTTGCTTTTCACCTTTCCAATAAGAATTTCAAATGTGTTTATATATTTTAGATGATTTCTCTGGTAACAGATACAGTACCAACAATTTATCATTTTATAAAAATCCTCTTTAAGGTTACAACATAATGTAAATTTCAGTCATCAACCATATCGTTTCCCATCCCTTTGTATATTGTAACCAAAATGTTTAGCCCATTTTTTCATACATTCTTTCACTCGTTCTTCTTCCAAGTTATATTTCAATAGATGTTGATACATTTTAGCAATTACATATTCATCATTTGTGCATAATTCCATTTCAGACTCAACCTTACAATGTTCAAAATGATGAACTATTTTATCTACCTTAAACCTTTCTAATAACTGTAAATAAGAAAACCATTGGCAAATATGTCCTTCTGCTACCCATTTTTCCTTTGGTTTTATTTTGTATTCCCCTTGTCAAAATTCTAGGTATTCATCTCCAGAGAGATGTCACTTACTTTATACAAGTTAAAACAATATTGATGAAATGTTTTTTACATAGCCACACTATCTGTTAATACAGTAACTCCCTTTTATATCAGTATCTTTTTCTTTTCATAATTCATAGCAAAACATTTTCCCTGGATCGTTTGCAAACTCATTTTTTCTATTACACAATTCATTTCTAATTCTATCTCTCTTATTGCTAACATGCATAGCTGTCCTAGTAAACCTGTTTATAAATACTTAGATGTAAAATAGATAAGCCATTTTAAGTATGCAAGCAGATTCATTGCTATTTATTTACACACAATTCTATAATTGCCGCTATATTAGATTTTGGTTGCTGCAATTCATCATATGGTTTGGCCCGTTTTAACATATAGTCACATATTGCAAAAGAGAGAGAGAAAGCAATTATGTCAATTAAATATTACTAGGATCCCTTTTTAATATAAATTTAATGAAAGTTTGAAAAACAAGAGTAAGAATTAATGTAAACTAAAACAGAGTAAGAAGGAAAAAATAAAAAGGAAGACATAAAAAGAAAGCTAAATGGCAAAAAGAAAAAAGTAGAACAAAAATAGAAAATAAAGAAAAATATATATACAGAAATCGCTTCCAATATTCTTTACAGCAGTTATAAATACAATTTACCTCTTTCTTTAAAGTTATATCATGACTCTTCTTACTATAATCTATCTCACCTAATCATTAAAACTTTAGATCATGTTCATTTTTTTTGTTTGTTTTATGCAATAAGTTCATAAGGTGTTTCCAGACAGTAATCAACATACATACTGTCTTTTCTCTAATCGAAAGGAAACATTACTGGCATCCTGAAAGAGTTATTCATGCAGCTGTTTCCATGGGAAACATCAATTCTTAAGTTGGAAGTCTATGTCTTAAGATAACTATGTTGTCCGTATTAAATTACAGAGGAATGATTATATGATTCACTAAACTCAAAAGACAGTCCTAGCAATTCTCCTTTGATTTCCACTTTGCACCTGCAAGATATATTACAATATTCAATGTTCCATTGAATAAATGGATTGCTTGTTATCAGTGCAAACTGCAGATACAATGTAAAGGGAATAAATTTCCCATACCCTCCATGTACAGTTCAAACTTTGAAAATTATAAGTTCAGTTCACTTAATTTGACACAATGCAGTCATGCTACTATACAAAATTATTTTTTAAAGCATAGGAAAGTTGTCTCAAATTTAATTCACTGAGCTCTGCTAAGTATGACGTACTCTGCATGTCTATACAAGAAGTGTTCCAAATTAAAATTTCTATTTTCTATTAAAATCAATTCCAAGCTATAACTTTAACATTAGGCAAATGCAAGTTGCTACAGTGGTGATGACTTACAATCACGACTGAGCTAAAAAATTCTGTTGCTACGAAAGACAATACAATGTGGTTGAAACTTTCAGCAGTTGTAAGTTGAAAACTACCTGTACTATTTATCCCATTGGAAGGCTTGAAGGGCAGTTTAGGATTGATCATCCTGGAGCAGATCTATTTTTTGGGTGCCAAGAGATGACACTCACTTGATGACACATAATCAATCATTATGTAAACATGTAAAAGCTGGGACAATTTTAGTACAAAAATAGTAAACTGATTATCATATTCAAGATAACCACACATCTTAATCAAGCAGGGTTTCTTTTTCATTGACTTTTTTTCTTTACCATATTCTAAATCTATTTCTTTAAAAAAAATTCCATTCATGCCTGCTTATTGATTTTCCATATCCATCTTGTTCACCACTGTTTCTATTGATCATCACGACAGATAACACAAAAGCAGATCAGATAAAAGGCTTTTTTCCTATTCCTCACATGTTCAAGCAAGTGACAATATAAAAATTCAATTTATTTGTCATATAAAAGGCAGGAGGAGGAAATGTAACTTGCCCAGTGTCAACTCTTATTGTTAATTGTATCCAAACAAAATTACTTTATTTGATTGTACAAGTAGTCATTCTACCACTTCTGTTGCATAAATTGCTTTCTAATGACATTTTCATATTTTTAAAAGAAAAATAGGAATTTTCAAGGCACACGTATATACAACTACAGAATGAAGGATTTGAAGGAAAGGAATGAAAAAATAATCCTACACGCCACTGCTCAAGAAATTCAGCAATTCACACCATTCAGAGAAGAAACTGGTGAAACTATCATAATGGAGGCCAGGTCTTACAATCTGTTATAATTGCTCTAAAGTTATGAATGTCTTTATTTTATGATAGTATCTGGTTACCTACCCCTAATCTTTAAGATCTACTCCATTAGGTTTCTGGAATTGTATTTGTTAAATCCCAAATTATCATAGAGCATCATGGTTAGCTATAAATATGAAATATTTTGTTTATTTATTGTATCATTATCTATCCAATAATAAATATTGTCAGTAAAATGGGAAGAGTCATTTTGACACCATATGTCCAGATTCAAAGAGGACAAGTTAACATTCACTGGTATCGGCCTGAAAACTTTATAAATATTATACAGAATATTTTGTTCAACCAACTTTAAATGTTGAAAGTACAAAGATTTTGATTACTAAAGGATAATAATAATGAGCCACCCTATTACATACCACATCTACTTCTTTTTTTAATAAATATAAAATAACACAAAACTGGCTCTGTGTTAATTAAGGGTTAGAATTAGTTTTTAAAAGAGAGGAATGTTCATTTATAGACCCACTAAAATTATAAATGTTGTGTGAACATAATAACATAGTTTTGAAGTTTCTCATAAGAACAAAGTTTTGAAGTTTCAGCGATATTTTATGACCCGGAGATCAAGCACTATTTGAATTAAAAGATGAGCCCAATATCAAAGTGCTTAGATTTTTGTTTTAATTTTTATCAAAACAAAAACCAGCTGGTAATCAAGGCCAAAACCATGACCAGTGTTCATAATTTGTTTTCTCTTCATTTCATCGTATCTTTATTCTTTAGGCAGAAACTGGAATTCATTGAAGCCCATAGCCGCTTGCCACAAATACCTTCTCATTTGCAGAAACATGGCTCACTTTTATATAGTTTTAAAGATAATCCAATACTTCCTGTTCCATTATCAAAAATCAAGAACAGAAACAAGGAGGTAAGCTTAAAGGTTAGAAGGCAAATGGCTTTTTGCTTCCATATTTTGTAACTATTCTTGGTTCAGTGACAAAACAATATCTGAAAATGTTTTGGAGTTTGTGGTTGCTTTTATTAACCCCCCTCCCCCCAAAAAAAACTCTTATCCAACAGATTGAGGATGGATTGCATTACCTGGCAAATGACAATGTTCCAAAAGATGGTAAAAGATTTTTGCAACTGGTCAACCTTTTGCGCACAGAAAAAGAAATTAATTATTCTGAAGTCTTTGACCCCTTTTATAGCCAGCCAAAGTATAGGTAAGATAAAACAGGAAGTTATTTTATTATTGAAAGACAACATTGGATATTTAAATCCAAATAATCACAGTTCAAGCATGATTTCTCCTTTTTCCACAGAGCCATTGTTTTGGATTTGATCTCTGCTGCGGGGACTTCAATGGGACTAAGATATGTGAGGCACAAAATAGTTCAACAAGAGATCACCACAACTGAAGCAGCCCAGATATTGCTTGTCTTCTTCCATTACTCCAATGCATTTGAAGAAGTAGTTGAAGAAGCTATGGTAAAATACTGCTGTCATTTTTGCCGTTGCTATTATGATAATATTAAAGTTGTTAACTGTTGTTATTAGCAGTAATACTCTTCCAACCGATCCTCTGTTTGTGGAAGATTGAATAGAATAATTGAAGGGAACTCTAAAACATGGCAATGCATGCAGGTTGGCTATCTCACAGATTTACAAATAACTTCTAGATTCTAAATTCACTCTCCATATCTTGAGTGACATTAACCTGGCTGAAATTCTGCAGATGTCAAAGCTGTTGCATCGAAGATGTTGCTGAACCAAATTTCCCAGCTTCCTTACCCAGTCTTTGCAGTGGATCATCTATAACAGTGGTTCTCAACCTGTGGGTCGGGACCCCATTTGGGGTCGAATGACCATTTCACGGGGGTTGCCAAACCACGCTGTCCGCCATTTTTTTCCCTTTTCCCTAGCTGTCCTACTCTCTCTTATTGGTGGCCACACCCACTTGGGGGTCACCACAACATGGAGAACTGTATTATGGGGTCAAGGCATTAGAAAGGTTGAGAACCACTGATCTATAAGCTCCTGGGTCAACCAACTCATCTAAAACAAACTTTCCTAATAACTCGATTACAATTTGCATTTCCATCATCATAGACCAAATCATGAATTCTATCTTGTGTAAAAGCTAAGACAGACTGCAAGGTGAAATACAGAAACCTGAGTAGTATACAATATACAAAAAAGAAAATATATGGTTAGAGCTTATTCTGCTTTACTCTTAAATTGGCATTAGCACATTCTGTTGACTATGCTGAATGGAAACTGTAGGAGCTGCAATTCTAACATATCTGAAATCTGCCGCTTTAAAGAAACTCATATTTTTCTTTCTAAAATGATAATACTCTGCAAATAAACTATGGTGATCCTCTATGTATAAGTCTGTAATTATTGGCAAGCTTGCCTGGGACACTGACCCCATCTAATGGAATATTCTTACCTGAAATCTTCAAAATGCTGCCGATATAAGCAGAGAATTTGTCCTGAAATTGTCTTTACTGTATTCAAGTCTCATTATCAGATCTTGGAAATACTTTGCTGACTTGAATAGTAATATCTGTGTTGGCTCAAGAAACTGAGCTGGATTATCCTTTTGTCTCTTTGTTTAAATGAAGCCTTGTCATAAACTCATAAATCAGGGCTTTAGGCAAGCCACTCATCTGTGGTGTGGAAAAAGCGATCCTGATCAGTTCTTATTGGAAATATTGGGCTAATACATTGTAAGAAATCTTACATGGTAAGATATAAACACTATAGACAATTTTACAGATGCTAAGCAGGGTAATTGCTTTATATTTGGATCTTTAATTTCTGACTGTGATCTCGTGTGTACATGTTTCAATGTTACAGAGCCACATGTTAAATATAAGCAAACCATTTGCTTTGCAATTGCAACTCCTTTAGGTAGTAATAACCAAATATTCTTTCCACAGGCCATAATGATAGACGTTCTTAAAGGTTCACGGAGTCTCTATCGTACTACCATCTGTCTGGCCTATGGATCATTACTTTCAAGATTCTATGCCATCTCAGAGACAATCCCTGACAAATATCTCAAGGTACATTGCCCAGTTTCAATTCTGTTTCTTCACCTAAAAATCCCTAAACTCCAGAGTACTAACTCAGCTCAGATGAAGGAACTTTCAAATGAAAATATCTCTGTTGAATAGTTTGCAGGTGTTGCTACAAAACATTAAAATGAGATTTTTGCTTCACTGACATCAGAATTGTTAATGCCAACCGGAACTGGGGGAAAAATGAGAACAGCAGAAAATGTTTAACATTTATAAGACATATTTGCCTAATAGGTCTCATAATAGTTTTATATGACTTGTTCATTTCTTTTATAAAGCATTTTTATGAAGCTTTTATTATTGTAAGTCACTTTTTAAAAAATTAACTCTAAGATTCCATAGATTAATTAAAAGCAATGGTAAATGTGCCAATTATATGTACCTTAATATTGGCCTCTGAAGAAGAATTTTACCAATTTTTGTAGAACAACAGTTTGAATAATTATCAATGTCTTCCATACATTTTTTTTTAATTTATATTGAAGATTATGTTATTGTATACTAGCATTGGAAGCATTATGTTATTGTACATTAGCATTGGAAACATACTGATATATGTATGATTTTATATATGTTTACAAATACTCCTATATGGATATGAATATATGTATGTGTATAGACACACACACATACATATATACATATATGTATATACATACGTACAAACTAATTTGTAAACATATATAAATATTTTTTAGAGTTATGATAAGAGGCAGCTATGGGCATCTATAACAGTTTTCACTAGATTGTAAAAATCTAGTTAAGATTTAATATAACTAAATCCTTTACTTTTCAAGAACCATATTGCATTTTTGTAAGGTTACCCCATATTAGCCAACTTAGCAATCTAGAGTCATGAATCTACAGTTAGCCAAATGAACTCATTTAAACCAGGAGTGGAACATCTGCACTTCCTTCTGATACCCCTTATTTTATATATCACTCCATCCAAGTGTCCTACAAAGAATGGCCATGCCTTTTCCACTTGTGGAGATACTCATGAGTATCCTGTGCATTTGCATTCTTGACTGGAACTACTGACTGTTCATAATACTGTAGCATATTTAATATAACATATTTTTTTCCCCACAGCCTCTGACTGATTTTGCAACTAAAGCCATAAGATCATCTGACATAGATGCAAGTGTCTTGGCTTTGAAAACCTTTGGCAACGTGAGACACATAATTGTCTTGAAGCCCATTATGAAGTATCTGCAAACTGCTGATCCCTCTGATATTAGAATTCAACAGAATGCTATCATGGCTCTAAGAAATCCTGCCAAAAAAGACCCTATGCGGGTAAGAAGTAGTATTTTTGTTTGTTTGTTTGTTTGTTTTTAGGAGGGAGGATGATTAATTGGCTCATTTTTGCTTGTTTATTACATTAACAGTATCATGGAACTGCTGGACTAACATAAGCTGACCATAATTATGTGCCATTATTGTATTAGGCCAAAATATTTTCCAGTAGAGAGGAACAAAGCATGTAAGAATCTACTTTTCACATTGCCAAGGAACTTTCCTGAAAAAAGTGAATGGAGAAAATAATTACATAATCACTGATGGATTCTCCTTTGGGGTTCCTTGTACAAGTTATAAGCTGTTATTCCTGCTTTCACAAAAAAGAAAAAAAATTGCAATGGAGGGAAGCAACGCAGTCACTTTGAATTATTCTGCTATTTTCTCCATAATTCAGAAATGTCCAGAAGATTCTCTTTTCAGTAAAATATCAGAGAATAAGCACCTAAATATTAGCTGGGTATGATTTTTGAACACAGATAGTTTCTTATCCAAAACAGCTCCATGTTCTTTACCAATAGGATATATACTTGCTTTAAGCCAGACATGGAATAAGGTTATTCACATAGTTCTTAACTCATTTGCAACAAGAAAATATTCCCTAACTCATCTCTCATTCAAAATCCTCACTTCCTATAGCAAGTTTAACAGCTCAGCCTGGTGGGAAAATTCACACCAGGTATACTAAAAGATGTGAAGAATGGTACTAGGCAGCCAAAAAGCACTTGTTTATATAAATCTTTGGCAAAGAAAAGAAGAGGGAATATTGAATTCAGGGACTAGCAATCCTTTTGTCTAATCAGCATGATCTTTCTCCAACCATTGATTTCATTTCCTATCTTTTCCCTTCCTCCCTTCCCTTTGCATTAAATGCCTCTATTAAATGCCACTATTTTATGTTGATTGAAGTCAATTTTTTACTTCATTGTATTAGTTGCTGCTGAATTCTCTCTTGCTTGGTAAACTTTGTTTATTTTTCTTATTAACTGTACAAAATTGTAGAGTTGGCAGGTGGCAATGGAGACTGAATCAAATAAAAAAGCTTCATTTCATGCTGTAAAAATATCCTTGCTATGGTCAAAAATGGTGCAACATGGAGCTTATTTCATCCCCTTGTAATAACTAATCATCCCTGTAAATTTCATCTTTCTGGTGAAGAAAAGAAAAAAATGAATCACAAATTCTTAAAACCTATTTCTATGAAATTTAACACCCTTATCCCCCTGCCTAAAATGGACAACTTTCTTGGGAAAAATGTAGTTGTTTGTTTGTTTATTTGATTTCTACATTCATCCTTCTTAACAAGAGACACAGAGTGGCATCTCAACCTAATGATTATGAAAATAAAGATATTATTGCCCTTAGTTGTCTCTCTTTCCAGTACAGCAACACTGTGTCTTTTTTCCCCATTCTAGATAAGGAGAACCCAAATCTGGCTTTTCCAGTTCAAGCTCTTAATCAGGAACAAGCAAGAATAGGCTCCCAATCCTAGTTTAACATAAGATCAATCTATTACTTTTCAAGGCCACAAATGTATCAGATGGTATGTGCACAACTCTAATATTTCCTATCTATTTTGCACAGGTACAAGGAATTTTACTTCCAATAATCAAGAATTACAAAATTGATCCTCTAGTCCGAACATGTGCTGCCTTTGTCCTTCTGGAATCAAAGCCTACTTTCCCTATTCTGATGACCTTAGTTAATGCAATGTTACATGAACCTAGTATACAGGTTGAAAACTTTGTCTTCATGTACCTCAGCACAATAGCCGGAAGCCGATCTCCTGAATTCCAAGTGATGTAAGTCTCACAAAAATGTTTTTAACCACAAATGACAAAGAGTAGACTTCAACATGAACCTTGGTGAATCCATCCTTTCTCTTTCAGGGCTTCTGCTTACAGGACGGCTCTCAAAGTACTAACTGAAAAAAGTCAAAAATGGGCAGGTTATTCAGTCAGCAGATATTCCCTCATGGAATACTTTGATGGTAAGTAACATATTGTCTTCTACTATTATATATTACTTATAACCAAACAGTGACTTAAAATGCCTGTCTGTAGCGTTTTGGTTTTTGTTTTGCCACCTTGAAATTAATCTTGGCCCCTGGTGGCCACAGTCTTCTTGGCAAGGTTTCAAAAAATGGGTTTCCATTGCTGAATGAGAGAGAGATTTTTTTTAACTAGCAACTGGCACTCTCCCACCCCCTGAGACCCTTGTACAATTTGCACACTGGACTGTAGCAGTCCTGGCAACATTTACTAAAATTGTTTCTTTTTCTAACCATAGGGTAATATCAAGGCATTCTAGTTCTAGATTTTTTTTTCTTAGACATAAAGCTATAAACTCATTGACAAAGCCCTTCCACACAATGACCAATCAGGTCTCTCACATCATTTTCTGCATGACCATGCCCATTCTGTCCTCCAATATCACTAGCCAGCACTCATTCAATGGAAGAGTGGCGCCTAAATAGCCAATCTCTTTTCTTGTTACATTTGCTTTTTGTCTCCAGAAAAAAATAATAATACTTGAAAATAACAGCAAACAGGAGTTTTGCAAACCTCCAAGCCATTGGTGGACATCAGGACAATCAAAGCATGATAGAAATTCCTTGAGTTTCAAATGATTTGAGATGAGGAATGAATTCTTGCTACAGAGGGAACATCAAGGGTGAATAATCATTTTGAGTAGAACCAAGACTGACCACCTAGTTAACTGTTTAGCTTCTCAGGCTACACCCAAGGTCACAAGATGCCAATTTCAGACCAGTGCACTACACAGTATGGACACGACCGACTTATAGAAGAGGGGTCTATACTAGACTGCAGGCATATAAAGAATTTTCATAACACTGCCTTTTACATTTTGTGACTTGAATGTTTCCATCTTTAAATTGCTGAGAAAATCCTAGAAATTTACCCTACATCGAGGGAAAGAAAAGATTCAAACCATACCTGAAAACTTTGTGCATATAGCTTAACAAAAAACTTCCCCCTACCTTTTTTGGGAGTAGAAGTGGAATTAATTAGTACAATTCAAGTAGTTCAATTAGTGCAATTTCAGGCAACATTATAGATGTTCTGGGGTGACATTACATGACCATTTAATTAATAGGGTGATATCATAGCAGTGTTCCAATATCTAAGGGGCTGCCACAAAGGGGGTGGGATCAATCTATTCTCCAAAGCACCTGAAGGCAGGACAAGAAGCAATGGATAGAAACTGATCAAGGAGAGAAGCAACCTAGAACTAAGGAGAAATTTCCTGACAGAACAATTAATCATTGGAACAATTTGTCTCCAGAAGTTGTGAGTGCTCCAACACTGGAGGTTTTTAAGAAGAGATTGGTCAACCATTGGTCTGAAAGTATAGGGATTCCTGCTTGAGCAGGGAATTGGACTAGAAGACCTCCAAGGTTCCATCCAACTCTGTTATACTGTTATTTCCCAATACAGTATCTGAATTTGATCACATAGAATATTCTAATGGAGGTCTTGACTCTCTTAAATGCCTTAAAGAAGAGGTGGAAGGGGTTGCAGGCACAGAGTCTTAGACAACAATTAGAAGATTCAACATTTTCTCTTATTCTGTTATTTGAAGACTGTTCTCATATCTCCCCTACTTTTTCTAACCATACCCAGATCCTCTAACTATTTCTCATAGTGCTTGGTCTAAGTCTTCCACCATCTTGACAATGCTACTTTGAATTTGCTCTAATTTGTCCCTGACCATTTTGAATTATAACTATAGTATTGCCAATGATGGTAAAGTAGTGTGAAATATATGTGGAAATCCCACTTGTCCAGTATTGCTATAACAGATTGTTTTATACATACTGAAGACTTTGTGGCTATTTCATAAATTGCACTAAGCAATTGAAAATCAAAATTTTTCTTTTTTTTTTTTTGTTTTGAAATAATTGGACTTACTGGATTATCTATCTTGTCAGAATTTTATAAGGGTCGTTTGGGAATGAATTCAATGTTTCTTCATGAAGAAATGAATACACAGCCAACATTTACAATGAAAAATTTCAAGGCAATCTTCATGGGCAGCATATTTTCTCCTTTGGAGGTATTTAAATATTGAACCATAATTATCGGCTGAACAGAATTACAAATTAAAGTTCCGGGGTGCTTTTGTTTCTGACCCACACTTCTATCTAATGTATTGGGAATGCAAGCATAAAAGTATAATCTATACTGAAATTCATACTGAAAATACTGTTGTTTTTATTTAGATGTGCCTTGTTTTTCAACTGATACTGATAATTGTACTCATCTGAAGTGAACATTAAGTGATCTGTACATTACCAATGAATTCTTTATGTATTTATTTTTTAAAAAAAAATCCCATTAGCATTTGTGCATCATTTGATCTTTTATAAAGCAGGCCAAGAGATATGTGGCCCTCAAAAGCTACACATGACAGCTTTTCTTTGTTATATTCTCTGTTAAGCCATTCTTAATTAAAAATGACTCCTTTTATGGGAGCAGGGGTGTCAAACTCGCAATATCACGTGTTGTGTCATGATGTATCGCCACTTTTTTGCCATTGCTGGCAATGGGGTGGGTGCAGTTTTGCTATGATGCATCCAGCCCGCAGGCCAGCAGCTTGACACCCCTGTTGTAGAGTCTTTAAATATACTACAGGCTATGGATCAATTTATTTAGAATTATTTAAATATCTTTTTTAAAAAACAACAACACAGTGTTCAAATTTATGTAGGGCATACAATTCTTTGTCCCAACTGTATTTTTCTTTCCAATATAGATAGGAGTTCAAATACAAAGAATAAAAGAACAAGATAACAAAGGTCACGATTCACAGCAACTTCAGAAAACGGTAAATGGGCAGCAGTGAATTATGCCATAAATGTTTTTTCTGAGAATAATACCTTCCATGTTAATCTACCTGAAATGTGTAGGGGAGCTATGGAATTTTCCAGACTAGTCAGAACTTCCAAAATCACCAGTCTCTTCCTTTTTGTCACTTCTTTAAAAAAAAAAAAAATCCTGTAAAGTTTGCCTTCTGCAGCTCCATTTTCAGTTCTTTAGTGAGGGGGTTGTCATGGGTTCTTTTTAAACTATACTCTGTTTGTTTGATTGACTCAAACTCAAAAATTCATCAAAAGACTAGATCGTAGACTATTGGATTCTTATAGCTCCTAATAAGGATTGAGGAAATGCTCTGTTTTGAAAAATATCCAAGGTACAAAACTGAAAGATACAAATATATATGTGCAATTTTTTTCTATGTCTTTCTTCTGCATTATACTATATTTCTATTCTACTTATATGATACAATGTTTTCTATACTATATTCTAGCACTACTTCTATTATACTATATTCTATACTATTATTTGTACTTCTGTGCTACTACTATACTATTTCTACTGCAAATATATTATCACTATTACTACTATACTTCATTTATCTGTATCCCATCTTTATTATTTGCACAAATAACTCAAGGCAGCGGGGATATTCCACATATCTTCCTCTTCCTATTTTCCCCTCAACAACAACTTTATTAGGCACAGTGGGTTAAGGGAAAGTGACTGAACCAAGTCACCCAGTTGGCTTTCCTGGCTAAGGTGGGACTAGAATTCATGGTCTCCTGCTTTCTAGCCTGGTGCCTTAACCACTAGACCAAACTGGTTCTTTAATCTACTACTCTACTCAACTCAACTCTACTATTACTATATATAACAGTGTTTTAACTTTTACAGACCCTGATCTGCCTTTACATCCCCCCCCCAATTTCTTCTATTGTCAATTTTTCCATTATTAATGAACAGCAAGTAAAGTACCTTATATTGGACTTGGCTTGGCTGTGCTTCTCCATTCATTCATTCATTCATTCATTCATTCATTCATTCATGGACCCTCTTACTTCTATCAACAAAACTCATTTTATTTGGCTGTTTTCTATTTCTTGTTGTTCTACTGCTGCATAACTTCCCAAATATATGTGTCTTCCATTTGTTCTCCATGTCTTCTGTCCCACCTCTTTCAGGTTTACAGGTATAAGCAATTCTGTAGTGTTGACGCTGAGGAGAAGCTCAAACAGGAGCCAAGCAAGGCAGCACAGATGTTTTTCTTCAGTTTGCTTTTCCATAAAGGTCCTTTTTTATAAATATCTATGTTTATTGTGATGTTTATTTTTGCACATTGTTTAATTTCTACTGGCCTTCATTTTTTAAAAAAGACTACTGTATGATGCTCGGTATACATAAATGCAGAATCAGGATGCATAATCAAGTAAACATTCTAATTTCTACTTCTTATTATACAGCCTTCTGGCCAGAAAATCACAACAGGTGGGTCTATTGCTCTAGAAGTATATGCCAAAATATTTGACCAGGAGATCGTAACTGAGTACATAAAGATGGATAGAATTCGACAAATATTACAGGTGCCTTTTTTACCTACTGTTTTCATATTTACTGTTAAACTATTATCTACTCCTCAAGGTCTCGAACATTCATATTTTAAATATTATCTAACAGTCATATTTTAATAATGTCAAAATATTGTTGACTTATGATGTAATTCCGTTGGCAAGCTTTTCTTTTGGGGAGCAATTATTCCAATAAAGTTTGTATCTGATTATCAGATTTGCTTAAATGAATCAAATCTATTTTTCCAGGCAAATCGTGAAAAAGGACATCTTCTTTGGATGAAATATCTTATAGATGTCCTTAAAAATCTTCCAAATATTCACTGGCAGAAATATTTCATGTCTGCAGAAATCCAGCGTATTGTGCCAACGTGTACTGGGCTACCTTGGCAAATAGGTTTGGTCCATATTGCTCACACAGAAGTTGCTGGAAATGGTAGGGCAATATGTTTTATTCATTATTACATATATATACATATGTATATGTACATACATATATAAAAAACAAACATTAATGTATGCATTGATTTATTTTCTTTCATTTAAACAGTTCAGTTACTGATGACCCCAGAACCAACATCCCAAATCACTTGGCCTGACATAATTAACAGTGATATCAAACTGAAAACCAGACTGAGACTTCAGTAAGTACAATCAATGTAAAGTCCTCATGTAAAAAGAACATCGTGCAAAAATGCCTGGTATCATTTATTCCTCAGCAATTACCAAATGTCGGACAATCTGTTGTTTTCTTTGCTGTTTCAGGATAAAGAAGGACATGATCTTAAACATGGGAATTATTACACCCGAAATTCATGCCCTTCTGGAAAAAAAGGCCACATTCACAGCAAACATCCCCATAAATATGGATGTTGCTATGAATATTAAAGAAAAGACCTTCGAACTTGAACTTCCACCATGCAAGGAGGAAACAGACATAATTTCTCTAAGGTAGGCTCTTGTTACACTACGAGTAAAGTTTTTTTTTTGTTGCTTTTCTAGTTTTTATTTGCAGATTTAGAAAACTAAATCAATTTCAATAAAGTAGATTTATAGAATTTATCCAGAATAAATTCAGTGTATATAGACTAGACATGTCAAACTCGCAACATCACGTAACGTCACACAATGTACCGGGACAGTTTTGCCATTGCCGGCAATGGGGTGGGTGCAGTTTCTGGATGATGCATCCGGCCCATGGGCTGGCAGTTTGACACCCCTGATATAGACTGTTGAAGAATACATCTTAAGAAGTGCTTTCATTTTAGTTTTAAATCATAACAGAAGATGTCACATGACCACAATGATTTACAACAGCAATCTTAGCACTCTACATTACAGTCATTAACTGGGAATTTCATGTTATTAAGTGACTACGCACCCCAATCTAAGTTTTATCAGTTTTGGTCTTCCTAGCTTCGGCATCAGCAAGATTAGGGTATTCTTCCAACTCTCCTTACTCACCTATCCCCCCCTCATCTCTGCCTCTGATTACTTCCAAGATCTGACCAAGGAGTTTAAACTCCTTTTAATGTTAGAAAAGTATCTCATATTCAGGGATAGTAACTGAATGGAAACCAAACTGAATTATTTTTCCTTTTGGTTAGTTTTGACTAAACTAACTATGTCTTTGAAGTCCTTGGGAGAAATGGGAGATCTCAGCTGGATCCCAGCTATTAGAAACTATATATATATATATATATATGTAGGTCTTTGGTTGTTCGGGTTTTCTCCCACGTAAAATTGGAAGTGTCTTGGCGACGTTTCGACGAAGTCCCATTCGTCATCTTCAGGCTGGTGCTTTCAGCTTCGTGCCTCGAGCTGCAGTGTGTGGTCTTGGCTGTTTCTTCCTTTTAACTGCCAGTGGAGGTATGAACTGATTGGGTGGGAGCTTGGCTGTGTTCTGATTGGGTGGAGGTGTGTTCTGATTGGTTAGGGGCTTGGCTGTGCTCTGATTGGCTGGGGGGTTGGCTGTGCTCTGATTGGCTGGGGGGTTGGCTGTGCTCTGATTGGCTGGGGGAGTGTTCTGTTTGGTTGTGCTCAGGTTAGTCTGAGTTGCAGAGGGATTCAAGATTTTGGGCTGCCCTGCCATTCCTTGGCTTCGCGTTCGTGGTCGTGCTTCCTCTTCATGGAGGGTGTCAGTTTGCTTCATGTATGGATTGGGGGGGTTTAAAGTGGCTAATGATGCAGCTGTGGTCTGGCTTCTGGTTTGTGGTCGTGCCTCATAGTCAGTGTGGCTTTGGGTTTGTTTTTTGCGTGGATGTTTGGTGGTGACTCCTGTGTGGTTTTTGTGAGTGTGGGTCTGGTATCATTTTTTGTGTTAGGGAGTCGTTTGTCAATAAGGGCGGGTTTCCAAATGGCTGGTAGGCGGGAGGTATCATCTCGCTTGTTCATGCTGTGTGGGCGTTTTTCTATCTCGATGGCTTCTCTGATTATTCTGTTATTAAAATGTTCACTTTTGGCAATGGTTCTGGTATTTTTAAAGTCAATTTCATGTCCTGTGGCTTTAAGGTGTTGGACCAGGGAAGATGTTGGTTCCTCTTTTTTGACTGAGTTCTTATGTTCTTCAATGCGTGCACTTATTCTTCTGTTGGTTTGTCCGATGTATGTGGTGGGACAAGTGGTGCATGGGATTTCGTATACTCCTTGATTTTCTAATTCAATTTTATCTTTGGGGTTTCTAAGGATGGTGGATATTTTTCTGTTTGTGCAGAATGCTGTTTTGATGTTGTGTTTATGGAGGATCAAACTCAGCAACAAGATCCACCCCGCACTTTGGGACAAATCCAAACAACTTGCCGTCTGGAGAGCCGAAACACAGACCACCTTCAAGACAGATACACACACCAACAAACTCCGAAGACTACAAGAACGCCAGAAACAAACCCCTCCTCCCTCACAGCCACACATGAAGCAAACAGTGCATAACATCTCAGATAGGATCCTCACCAAAGCCGAAACCAATGTCCTTTCCAAAGGATTCAACTTTGCAGTCGCTCCCAAACACATCCCCACTGAAACCATTATATGTGGAGTTGAAACCAGCCTGACTAAAATCAACCCCGACGACGCCAACAGAATCAGACTCGAAATCACCAACATCCTCTGCACCAGCAAGCCACCCAAAAGCAACTTACCCAAAGAGGAACAGACAGCACTACGTAACCTTAAAGAAGACACCAGCATAATAATCCTACCAGCAGACAAGGGCAACGCCACGGTGGTTATGAACACATCTGACTACCAAACCAAATTAACCAACCTACTCCAAGACTCCACATACAAACCCCTAAACACAGATCCCACCACCTACCTGGAAAAAACCACCAGATCCAAAATAAAAGCCTCCCCCATTAGCGAAGAGATCCAGCAAAGAATCATTCCCAGAGAGAAATCATCCAGATGCCCCAAACTCTATGGTCTCCCCAAGATACACAAAGAAGGAACCCCACTCAGACCTATAGTCAGCTCCATAGGCTCACCTCTACAAAACCTAGCCAAATTTCTCGCCAAACAACTACAGCCCTATGCAGAATCCATCACCTCACACGTAAAAAACTCATTCCAGTTTATAGAGATCATAAAGAAACAAAACTTACAGCCCAGCGACCTACTAGTGAGCTTCGATGTCATATCCCTCTTCACCCAAGTGCCTATCAAAGAAGCCTTGACAGCTATTCAAAACAAATATAACCCCCCCAAACACATCTTAGATCTGACCAACCACTGCCTATCCAACACATACTTCATCTATAATGGACAAAAATACAAACAAACAGAAGGAGCACCCATGGGATCACCCCTCTCACCTGTCATTGCCAACCTCTACATGGAACACTTTGAAACCCAAGCTCTAGAAAAATCGGATCACAAACCCAAACTCTGGCTCAGATACGTAGACGACACCTTCATAATCTGGCCACATGGGAAAGAAAAACTGGACAACTTCCTCACACACCTCAACAGCCTACACCCCAAAATACAGTTCACCATGGAAACAGAAGCTAACAACCAACTTCCCTTCCTGGATGTCTTAGTCTACAAGAAATCCAATGGCTCCCTAGGACACACCATCTACCAGAAGAAAACACACACAAACCGCTATCTGCACGCTCTCTCACACCACCACCCAGCACAGATCAACTCTGTAGCCAAGACACTCATCTCCAGAACAAAACGCTTAGCTGACGAACAACACCTAAAACCCGAACTACACACTCTCACCAATGTACTAACATCCAATGGATTCCATAGAAATAAGATTACAAACCTAATCCAAAAAGAAACCCCCACTAAAATCCAAGACAAAGAACAAGAAAACGGCAAAGCCCTCCTCCCATACATAAAAGGCACCACAGACAGAATCAGTAAGATCCTCCATAAACACAACATCAAAACAGCATTCTGCACAAACAGAAAAATATCCACCATCCTTAGAAACCCCAAAGATAAAATTGAATTAGAAAATCAAGGAGTATACGAAATCCCATGCACCACTTGTCCCACCACATACATCGGACAAACCAACAGAAGAATAAGTGCACGCATTGAAGAACATAAGAACTCAGTCAAAAAAGAGGAACCAACATCTTCCCTGGTCCAACACCTTAAAGCCACAGGACATGAAATTGACTTTAAAAATACCAGAACCATTGCCAAAAGTGAACATTTTAATAACAGAATAATCAGAGAAGCCATCGAGATAGAAAAACGCCCACACAGCATGAACAAGCGAGATGATACCTCCCGCCTACCAGCCATTTGGAAACCCGCCCTTATTGACAAACGACTCCCTAACACAAAAAATGATACCAGACCCACACTCACAAAAACCACACAGGATGTCACCACCAAACATCCACGCAAAAAACAAACCCAAAGCCACACTGACTATGAGGCACGACCACAAACCAGAAGCCAGACCACAGCTGCATCATTAGCCACTTTAAACCCCCCCAATCCATACATGAAGCAAACTGACACCCTCCATGAAGAGGAAGCACGACCACGAACACGAAGCCAAGGAATGGCAGGGCAGCCCAAAATCTTGAATCCCTCTGCAACTCAGACTAACCTGAGCACAACCAAACAGAACACTCCCCCAGCCAATCAGAGCACAGCCAACCCCCAGCCAATCAGAGCACAGCCAACCCCCCAGCCAATCAGAGCACAGCCAAGCCCCTAACCAATCAGAACACACCTCCACCCAATCAGAACACAGCCAAGCTCCCACCCAATCAGTTCATACCTCCACTGGCAGTTAAAAGGAAGAAACAGCCAAGACCACACACTGCAGCTCGAGGCACGAAGCTGAAAGCACCAGCCTGAAGATGACGAATGGGACTTCGTCGAAACGTCGCCAAGACACTTCCAATTTTACGTGGGAGAAAACCCGAACAACCAAAGACCTACATACAAATACCCGCGAAAACCTCAGAAAAAAGAGCTTTCGTCGGAAACTTCCGACATCGTCAGGGTTAAAAGCTAGTCAACGGGAACAACTTATATAGAATTAACAATTTAAGCATTTACATCCTGGTTAATTCTATATAAGTTGTTCCTGTTGACTAGCTTTTAACCCTGACAATGTCGGAAGTTTCCGACGAAAGCTCGGTATTTATTAAATTTTTCCAGTTTGGATTTTTCCTGGTGGTTGTGATTGATTTATTTTATGATATGGATATACCAAGGAATCGTGTTTTCATTGACATTATATATATATATATGGGTTTTCTCCCGCATAAAATTGGAAGTGTCTTGGCGACGTTTTGACGAAGTCCCATTCGTCATCTTCAGGCTGGTGTTTTCAGCTTCGTGCTTTGAGCAGCAATGTGTGGTCTTAGCTGTTTCTTCCTTTTAACTGCCAGTGGGGGTATGAACTGATTGGGTGGGAGCTTGGCTGTGTTCTGATTGGGTGGAGGTGTGTTCTGAATGGTTAGGGGCTTGGCTGT